AAAAAAAAAAAAAAGGGACCAGGTTTGCTGATCTAATAGAACCTGATGGAACCACTGAGACTATGGCCCCTAGCTGCCCTTAAAGTCTGGAATTGAACCCACTCCTGTCGCTTCCAGCCAAACAAAAGACAGGTGAACATTTACATTAGGTAGATACATTCCTTGGAGAGATCAATCATAGGAGAATATACGGGCTGTGTATGCTCAGGGAGACAGCTCAGGGGGCAGGAGTACATGAAGGGAAGGACAAGGGAAGAGGTAACTATGAGGAGGAAGTGGGAGGGGAGCTGTTGCACTGTGATAAATTATAGTCAATGTCATGAAACAAAGTGTATGTGAACTGCTATATGGAAAGTGAATTTTCTCTATAAACTTTCACCCAAATCACACACACAAACACACACAAACGTAGCAATTTTATGGAAGCAGATTGCCACATCTCTTTCTTCCTCAGAGCGGCTGGTGGGTTTGAACTGCTGACCTTTCTGTTAGCAGAGCTCTTAAGCATTGCTCCACCAAGGCTCCTTGGAAGCTTATAAAGAGGTCGATTACATTCCTAGACAAGTGTTTAAAGTGAGTAAAAACCAGTGTCTAACATGGCTGAGAACTCTGGTGGCATAGTGCCTAAGGCATCTGACTGCTAACCAGAAGGCTGGCGGTTCAAACCCACCAGCCACTCCTTGCTTGGAAGGAAGGTTGGGCAATCTACCTTTGTAGTGATACTGCCTCAGAAACCCAAGGAGGGGTCGCTATGAGTCAGATCTGACTCCACGGCAGTGAGTTTGGTTTAGTTTAACATAGGTACTTCTCTCAGTATCTTTGACAAAAATATTATTCAGTGATGGCAATTCTGCAAGGGACCAAAATACAGTAGTCCAAGTATCCTAACTTCCAGTGATGTGTAACTTGATCCCAGAAGTTTTGACTACCTCCACGGATGGGTGAATATTGTCTCACTGTTTTAGAAAGTCAGCTCTCCCTAAGAGGGGGACCACTAATCAGGGTGAAAGTATTTCTCAGTACTTTGGAAAAGTTTAAGGTTCTCAGTGGATTTCCTTTAACCATTCTAAGTACCTCTCTGTTGGCCTGAATAACTGTAAATGGATGTCACTGATGTGGAAGACTTCATTATTAATTACGCTCCAGTCTGGGACCTCTGTTCCTCTGAGCTCTAGGCCCGGGCAAAGTGCCCAAGTGGTGAAATCCGCCCGGCGAATCTCACCTGCAGCGTCAGCTTGCACAGTGATGGGGTCAGCGAAGAACACACTGGGGGGCTTTGGCCAGAGTTGGTGAGGGCACCCGGCTGCAGATTAAGTTCTTGGAGAAGAGTTCTCATAACTGGTTGTCCCTGAGAAAAAAAGTTTGTGTTAGAAAACTAAGGTTCTGCCAGCTTGCTCTCCCTCCCTTAGAAGCCTCAGCGACGAGAAAGAATAGGTTCAGAAACTCGTCTAGCGGAAGCGTCAAGACAAACAACAGATTTCACATCACGGACTTCACATGCCTCCCACCACTGCTAACTTTGACCCAGCTTTCCAGGACACAAGGCACCAGCATCCCCAAGCTAGTAGCTCCAGCCCAGTTCTCTCTCTCCGCAAGGCTCTCTCGCTCACCGGCTCGGGCGAACCTGACGCACTGAGGTTCAGTTTTTTCACCCGCCACATCTTCCGCGCAGAACCGAGGTCGATCACCTTCCAGACCCAAGAAAAGACGCCATGTTCAACCGCTGTCTTTATTTGAACCTGCTCCGCACTTTCCAATTGGCTGCGGAGCCGAAGTGCGTCAGGCGGGCGCGTCAGCTCCGGGCTCGAGCGGGCGGGTGGGTGGGAGGGGCCTTCGGAATTGGTCACGCCCCTCCCTGGCCTGCCCCGCCCCCGGGTTCGCGCGCGCTAGCTTCTGGGATCCTCCATCCCAGATGCCAGCGGTGTGGGCTGAACCGGTGCCAGGCCAGAGGCCTTCTTGTGGCTTTACATCAAGGAACAGGCTGTAGATAGGAGGAGAGTCAAGGAGTCCATCCCTCCTGCCTCTTGTGGACCACCATCACACCCTGTCAGAAAAGTTGTCTCCATAGTCTGACCTTAGGAAGCCTCTCCCCAGGTTTCCTCAGTTACCTCCCACCTCAGTCCTGACGGGAAAGAGCCACCTGGGAAGTCTGGAAGGGAGAAGTGAGTAGTGGAGTGTTTTTTTATTGAAACTTGGGCGGTCTGCACATAGGTCCTGTGTGTCCCTGATGGCCTGAGATGTAGTTTTCAACCAGAATGTAGCCACTGAGCTTTAATGCCTCCTCAGAATTTGATATTTTCTAGGGACTTAGCTCAGGGCCTGCAACAAAGTTACTGGAATGATAGCTAACATGTACAGACTATTTTTATGTGCCTTGCCCTGTTCCAAATCCTTTATAATGTATTAACTAATTTAATCCTCATAATGGGAAATTGGGTGGTGTAGTGCCTAAGGCATTTGGCTGCTAACCAGAAGGCTGGAGGTTCAAACCCACCAGCCACTCGGAAGGAAGGTTGGGCAATCTACTTCCATAGTGATACCACCTCGGAAACCCAAGGAGGGGTCGCTATGAGTCAGATCCCACTCGATGGCAGTGAGTTTGGGTTTCTTTTGGTTTAATCTTCACAAGGGCCTATGAAATTGTTTTCAGCTACTGTGGAGTTGAGGTACGACCCCACAGACAACTGAACAAAATGTTGCCCAGACCTGGGCACTCCCCATGATCACTGATCATTGCAGATTGGACCATTGTGATCCATAAGGTTTTCATTGGCTAGTTTTTGGAAGTAGAGTGCCAGGCCTTTCTCAGTGCGGAAGCTCCACTGAAACCTGGTCAGCATAACAACACAAATGCCTCCACTGAGAGACAGATGGTGGCTCCTTTGGCTGGGAATCTAACATGTCTCCTGAATGGAAGGTGAGAATTCTACCACTGAACCACCACTGCCCACCTCTGAAGTAGGTACTATAAATACTGTGTTCCCATTTAATAGACAAAAACACTGAATCATTAAGAAATAATGTAATTTGTCCAATGTCCTTCAGGTAGCAAATGGCAGAGGCAAGATTCTAACCCATATTCTACTGCCTCCTGAATCCTCCGTGTGGGAAATTGAAGGTGGAATTTTTGGTAATGGCCTAAAAGTAAGTATTCAAAGTTAGAGTTTATGATAGAGTGTTTATTCCACCCATAACATTTTACTTACACTCTAGAAGTGTTAATGAACTTGGAAAAGGCAATAACCAAGGAAGTAGAACTATAATCTTATTATAAACTGCAGGGCCCTTAAGGGGTGGGCTTCTTTAGAAATGTGTTATCCAAAAGGGTAAGTAACCACTAGCCACATGTACCTAGTCAGCATTTCAAATGTCCAAATTGAGATGTGCTGTAAGTAAAGGAGTTCTGGTGGTACAGTGATTAAGGCATTTGGCTACTAACCAAAAGGTCAGTGGTTCCAACCCACTAGCTGCTCCATGGAAGAAAGATGAGCCATTTACTATTTTTGTAAATATTTACAGCCTTGGAAACCCTACAGGGGTCACTATGAATCAGAATCAACTCAGTGGCAGTACGTTTGGTTCTGGGGTAGTATAAAGTAACACACTAGATTTTGAAGACTTTATATGAAAACAAGAATGTACAATATCTCATTTTTTATATTGATTACATGTTGAAATGATAATAGATATACTGGGTTAAAGAAAAGACATTAAAATTAATTTTACTTTTTAAATATCACTACTAGCAAATTTTAAATTACTTATGTGGCTTGCATTATGTTTTTACTGGACAGCACTGCCCTAGAAACTTAATGGTCCCAGACTACAGGCACTAAACCCACTGCCACTGCCATCAAGTCAATTCCAACTCATACTGACCCTATAGGACAAAGCAGAACTGCCCCATAGAGTTCCCAAGGCTGTAAATCTTTACAGAAGCAGACTACCTCATCTTTCTCCCACAGAGCAGCTGGTGGGTTCAAACCACTGACCTTTTGGTTAGCAGCCAAATGCTTTAACCACTGCACTACTAGAGCTCCTAGAGATGATAATAATTATCATCATTCAATAGCTTAAATGGAAAACTGGGGGAAAGAATGTAAGATGATGAACTTGAGCTTGGAATGGCCAAAGACTCAAGAGAGGGAATTCCAAGATGTACTTCTGGCCAATGAGAATGAACAAGGAAATAACATAAAGGTAGGAAGTGGCAGAAAAGCCAAGACTGAACACTTAAGTGCCAGCAGTAAAAGCTAATACTATAAAAATATGTGAATTGGAATGGTTAGTCCTTGATGCAGTTGGTTTGTCAGATACCCAGCCGGCAGCCAAAGGGATATGGTGCTTCCAGCAGCAAATTAAGAGACACATGGAGGGGTAGATGAGAGGGAAAATGCCATTATAAGTAATAGGTAACAAACAGAGTAAGTTTATCGATATTGTTTTACACAGTATTTTTTTTTAATTTGATGTTTCTCAAATTATAAAAATAATAGATGGTTGTTATAGCACATGAAATAATATAATTCAAAGATGTATTAAAGCCAAAACCTGCCCCCCACCATCCTTTCTGCCCTTTCGAGGTAACCAATGATGTATATACCTTTATACAAATGTACATAAGCATACACACACAGATGCGCACATTTTTTTTTGTTTTTTGTTTTGTTTTTACTTTATTCAAGTAGAATTAGTTTGAAGGGAAGGATGATGGGGCAGTCTACTTCCACAGTGACACTGCCTTGGAAACCCAAAGAGGGGTCGCTATGAGTTGGGTCCAACTCGACGGCACATAACAACAACAATTATTACTTAGCAATATATCCTAGAGATTCTTCCCCTTAAATATAGCTCTAATGCTTTGTAATTTTTTATGCATATTGACAAACACAGATTTTTTTTCCCCTCAAAAATTAGTTTTTGTGTATACTGGGGTTTTTGAGATAAGGCCTAGTACAAGCTTTCTTTTTTTACCCCCTCCTCTTTCCACTTGCATTACTTCCCTCTCTCAGGTTCACGTCTCATGTGTACTCTCCTTTTCTGTTTCTCTCTCTCTCTCTTTCACACACACACACACACACACACACACACGGGAAAAGTCATTAAGTCCTTTTTACAAGTAGAATCATTTCTTACACTTCTGCACTCTTTTTCTCAATGTCTTATATAGAGCCTTCCAAGTCAACTGACAGATACCTAATTGATTTGTCACTTCATTTCCTTGCCCTTTTTTAAAAAAAGACTGGTTGTTTCTCTTTTCTAATTTGTAAGAGTTCTGTGCAATAGACATTAATTCTTTATGTCATCACACTGCAAATGTTTTTTCTCTATCGTTTGTCCACTGATATTATTAATGGTACCTTTGACCAAAGGCTTTTTTATGTTTATGTGGTTAAGATGTTTGTCTTTTTCTTTCATAGTATCTAGATTTCTTGTCTTGATTGAATCATTCATTCATCAAATTTTTATGTAATTAAATGTCTTTCTTAACTCTTGTTGGTTTCTTAACTTCTGTCTTGGTTTAGGTATCTCCTCCATTCCTTTATTGTAGATCTAGTCTCCCAGATGTTCTAAGATTTTTAACGCTTTAGTGTATGGCATTTAAGTGTTTAATCTATCTGGAATTAAGTTTTGCATGTGAGAGATAAACCAAAACCAAACCAAACTCACTGCCATCAAGTCAATTCTTACTCATAGCGAACCCCCTTTGGGGTTCGGAGGTGGTAAATCTTTATGGAAGTAGATTGCCCAGTCTTCCTTCCATGGAGTGGCTGATAGGTTTGAACCACCAGTCTTCTGGTTGGCAGTCAAGTACCTTAGGCATTACACCACCAGAGCTCCTTATATGAGATAGGTGCCCAACCAATTTTGTTGTTGTTGTCGTTTTGTGCCGTCGAGTCGGACCCAACTCATAGCCACCCCTCCTTGGGTTTCCGAGGTGGTATCACTACAGAAGCAGATTTCCCAACCTTCCTTCCGAGGAATGGCTGGTGGGTTTGAACCGCCAGCCTTCTGGTTAGCAGTCAAGTGCCTTAGGCATTATGCCACCAGGGCTCCCTTTTAAATTTTAGGTTTAGATATTTATTTTATAAAAATCTAACTACATAACTTAAATTAGCAACCCTGAGAAGTATCTACTGGACAGTTCTGAGTAAATTCAAGATGAAATTGTGGAATTATTAGCTATGCTGCTGTGTATGATGGAGTATTGAACAAAGGAAACAATATGACCACTGCTAATCAGTAGAGCTCTGTACACCAATATAACTCATGGTTTAAAATGAAATTTGAAATGATGAGTATATTCTCAGAATATAAGCAAAATGGACCTTTAGGTAAAAAGGTAGCATGCTTTTTTCTAAATAAAATCATTACTGATTAATCTATCAGAATTCTTCATGGGGTTAATAATGCATTTGTATAAAAGAGAACCAGTGAATATGATCTTGTTTAATTAAAAACAAAAACAAAAACAAATGGTAAGATTCTACATTGAAAACACTGTTTAAAGTAACCAAGGAATTGAGATTACTGGTTTGTTAAATCATTGACAAAAGGAACTTAGGTTTAGAAGTTAGACAGTTTTCTAGAAAGTACATAAGGATTAGTGTTAAGATTAATCTTAAATTTTTACAAAAGATAGAAGTGAGTATAGCATAAAGTATTCATGTTTACAGGTGTATCAGGTTTCTTCCAGGTAATGAAAAAATCAAAACATAGGGACTTAAAAGGTCAAGTTGTATATAAAAAAATATTTTTAAGAGAATTTCATGTGAATAAGTAAAAAGGTCAGTGATTATAAATGGGAGTGCAGACAGAATGCTTTCCAAGGATGAGCCTATCCAAATTGGGCCATAAGGGCAGTGTGTTGGTTTCTTTAATTATACTTTCTGAAACTGATTTTCTATCACCCCCTCTACTCTACCCTGAAAATCACTACGTTAGTACAGAACTGATTGAATAGAGTATGTTGAAATGTCTTCATGTGGGAAGAAATGATTCAAACTCTACTTAAAACCTGTGAAAGCCAGAACCTGTCAGAAAAGTAAAACTCAAATATTTTCTACCAAAACATGTGATAGAAAAGTGCTAAGACTGCACCCTATCAAAGGCAGAAAGCTTGCAAGACCCGGAAAAACAAGGTAGTCCCATCAAGTTCCAATTCATATAGGTTTCACTGTATATGATCATGGTCTCTGATCTACCTAATGTGACCTAGTACAAGGATGATGCTACAGACTCACTATACAAGGGGCAAGGTGGGCAGACCCCACCTTTATCATTAACCGCAGAGCAAGGATCATTATGAATCCAATTCCCACCTAGAAATGGATGCAGGCTTCACCTTCCCTCATTCCTCCTTGCTAGCCATTTGCACTTGACCGCTAACCAGAAGGCTGGCGGTTCAAACCCACCAGCCACTCCTCGGAAGGAAGGTTGGGCAATCTACTTCCATAGTGATACTGCCTCGGAAACCCAAGGAGGGGTCGCTATGAGTCAGGGCTGACTCGACGGCATATAACAACAACAACAACAACAACTACCTATACTTACAGTTACCTATTTTATTATAATCTGAAAGGATAAAAAGTGAAGAGGCAAGGTCTAGGAGAGATCCCTGTCAAAATTTCCACTGTCCCCAAGGACATACTCCACCTTCTCTCCTGCAGGAAGCTCCCACACACACACACAAAGTCCCCTGGTCATTGAGCTCTCAGCGAATATACATGACTAGAGCCTTAATGTATAGTTATGATAATACAAAATAAATATGCATGATGGCATCATGCCCCCTCCCTTCTTAAAGATAGTTTTCTTGTATAGCCCCTACTTGCCTGGCTATTTTAGAAAGACAGAGTGCATCTTAATTGCTTAGTCAATTTTCAGAAACCAGATGCAAAAGGCCAAACTTACTTCTTTGTCCCACACCTAGAGACATGATATTAACCATTTCCTATAGACTCTGACTAGAAATAACACTGGGCCAGATAGTATCACAAAATATCAAATGCTCTGCATCTGCCCTTTGAAAAAGCATTGCAGAAATCTAAAACCAACTCCCTGCAATTAAGCATCAATACTTATAACACTCTTATTTTATACATTAGTTTTCTAATGTATAAAATGACTCACTTAAAGACATAATTATTGGTGGATCCATGTACCAGGTCTCCTAAATTCTAATCTAATGCTCTTAACTACTATTTTGGAAAGCATTAATTCCTATTTTTAGTATCCAAAGTTTTTATTCAATGTGCAGTTGTGGTCACTACAACAGCTTAATAAAGAAAAAAAAATGTAGTAAAGCTACAAAAGAGTCTACAGAGAGATGAATGAGATAATCAAAAGGATTAAGGATACATGCTTTTATTTCTTTATATCCTAACCTTATTCCAAAAGACTTACAATGATACAATAGAGTAAGAGCAAAAATACTAAAACTAAAAAAAAAAATGAGGATAAGAAAAATATAGAGAAGAAAAATGGAATCAAGAATGTGGCTAGCCTACAGAATATGTAAGATGATCTGGTATTAGTACAAAGAAGAAAATAGAATCACTTGAATATCTAGTGTCCTTCAGGTAAAATCCAAATAGTCATTATTCAGGAAAAACACAATTGGGACCAGAGGAAATTTCTCCCATGCATCCTTAAATAGAACAGTATGAATTGTAATGATAAAATATCCTTTACAGTACGCACAGCAATTAAGTTTCATAGGGATTTTCCTTTTAACATCTTGTAATGAAAGCAGGTGGCATTATGCTAAATTACAATTCAGAAAAAAGGCAATTCTGCAAAGACTTATAAAATGCCAGCCATGTACAGGGAACATCTGGTTTAATCCAGGGACAGAATTAATAAATAAAAGTATACATGGTATTCTCCAGACTGTCTTTGGTATAAAAAGAGGGATTAGACATAACTGAAAAATAAGGTCTAGATTAAAGCATTTTTTCCCCTAAAATCACAGAATAAAAATGAAGCTTTTATGAAGTTTAAAAGTGGAAAAAGCTATGAAGACCAAAAATGTATACAAATTCATAATCCAAGTGATTTTTGTTACTTAAAGAAAAAATTATTTTGAGATGTATCTCTAACCTTAAATCTTAAGGTTTAAGTCATGCCTCTCCATAAAAGACTCCTTGGTTTGCCCATCAGAAATTGATCAGTGTAAGAATTTTTATGTCTTTTGAGGTAGTTTTATTTCAGAAGGAATTTGATGGCTGCATCAGTTACCACAGAGAAGACATTTAACCCACCCATGTTTGAGTTCCTATCATCATCTTACTTCAGGCTATTGGGTTTATTTTTTTTTTAAATTAGATTTATTCCATACTGTCCTTGAGCCTCTACATCGTATTTTTTCTGTTGCATTATTTATTCCCCTAAAAAAGAAATGTCAGCTTTTGAGATCTTTGAAAAATATTCATAATGCTTCTGACAAGCCTATTAAACACCTAAGTAGCACCACAGGAATCCATGAAGGGTTATTATTGTTCCAGAAAGGAAACATGACAGAGAAGCAAGGAGAGGGAAAAGTAAAGCAAAAGAAGGGTCACCACCCAATCTGAGACATTGAATTGAAAGGGGAAATAGGTGACAGGGCAAGGGCTAAAGCCAGTTGTATCTGCCAACAGTAGAATGACCAAGATGTGAACCTTGTTCCAATGCCTAAAATAACAGAATGGTAAGGGGCTACAAAGTTAAAACAAACTAGATCATGAAGGTAGTTACACTGAGTTGGCAGTAGAGGAGATCCTCAGGTTCCCAGCTGTGCCCCAGCTTAAGCTGGGGTGAACCAGGAAGGATTCCAGGTCACAGTCAAAGTCCTTGAAGGGCATGGACTCCAGTGGACTGGGCTGGGTAGTTTGTGGCTCTGTGACAAAGTTCATTGGATGCTTCTGTAGGAGCTCTGGGTCAAAGGTCACACCCCGAAAGAAAGGGTGGACCTGGAAATGATGCAGATAGCGTGGACGGTGGAAGGGGTTCTGACATAAGAGCTGAAGGGAAATAGAACATGAAGGGTGAGGAACTGGGAGAGGAAAGGGGCTAAACAGACACTGGAAAAGAAGGAAGCAAGCCATGGAACTGTGGAAATTTGTAAAAGGGAGAAACAGGCTAATTTGGGGCAAATGTGGGAATATAGAAGTTTATTTATAAGTTTTTAAATGGAAAGAGAGTGGCCTGGTGTAACCACTGAGACTATGGCCCCTAGTTGCCCTTCAGGTCTGGAATTGAACCCACAACTGTGGTTTCCAGCCAAACAAAGTACAGGCATGTGAGTTAAACATTTACCTCAAGTAGACACACGCCCTGGAGAGAACAATCATGGGAGAAGGAAGGGCTGCTTATGCACAGGGAGATAGCTCAGGGTGCAGAAGAGTATGAAGGGATGGACACTGGGAGGAGGTAACTATGGGGAGGAAGTGGGAGGGGAGCTGCTGCATTGTAAATTTTGGTCAATGACATGAGACAAAGTATATGTGAACTGCTGTATGAAAAGTGAATTTACTCTGTAAATCTTCACCCAAATCCTAATTAAAAAAAAAAAAAGAGAGTGGCACTGGCCCACTTCCTTGGAAGAGACCAGTATACTCCAGATGGGGAAGAGATTTGTGGGAGACGAATAGAATCCATAGAACCAAGAACTCAGGAATGAAATGTGAAGTGCAGGTTAGAGGGCAAGTAGAGAGGTAAACTTTAATCAAGTTGCAGCCCCGCCCCCCACCAAAAATTAGAGGCACTGGGGAAATACCACTTCAATGATAGGGAAAAGAGAGAGAGAACTGTTTGGTAATCAAGAAGGAAAGTCAAAGGTAGTGTTCACACTTACCTCATGGAGGAGGAGTGTGAGCCCTTGGTTAAGAAAGGCAGGGATCTCATAGTCACAGTGAGTCACACTTGCCAACATGACCAGATGATCTCTCTCTGCAGTCACTGGGAACTGAGTTAGGGTGGGGGTAGGGTGTTATTACTTAGTGGGAATAAGGCAAGATTTCCTAAGGTCTTTCCTTCTATCACAGGACAAAGTTTTTCTTTTCTCTGCCCAGCTGTCTCACCTTTCCAGTTGCCAGAGAGAAAAGCAAGATACCCAGGGACCACCAATCAGCAGAATGGTTGTAAGGCCCTCCACTCAGGACCTCTGGGGCTACAAAATGGAAAGATACTTGTCACTGACACCTTTTAGCTATCCTGCCCAATGCTTAACCACCAGCCTTAGCCTCTCTCACCCATGTATTGCAGAGTGCCACAGATAGTATATGCTTGGGCTCCCTGGGGCAGGTGGCGGGACAGACCAAAGTCTGTCAGTTTCAGATGTCCTATGAAAGAAGGTAAGGAAGCAGCACCACTCTGTTTCACCCTTCATCAGCCATGACTTGTAATGAAACCCAGGTACTTACCTCGTTCATCCAGAAGGATATTCTCCATCTAGAAAATCACAGGTGAGAAGTTATTATTCATTCTCTTCCTTTCAACCCTCTTGCATCATGTGTTCCCCTAACCAAAAAAGATACTCTAGATACCAAATCTATATATGGTAGAACCCTTGCCCAAATCCTTAGCACCAAAGGGGGCCCTGAGGTTAACTGTTCTCAGCTCCACTCTGCTTTCTTGGAACTGTTGGAACCTCTGACCAAAGCCCTTCCTCAAACAAGGGAGGGAAGCTCTCGACTCTACCTTCACATCTCGATGGATGATGCCCAAGTCATGAAGATAACCTGTGGGTAACAGCAAGCATAGGTTGTGCTGAAGCTCTCTCGACCTTTCCACTTTCCCTAGTAGCCCCCTCACATACCTACCCCTATTCTTTGACCTGTAGTTACCAGTTTTTTCCCTCTGCTCCCCCGACCCCAATTCTTCCCTCTCCGTTTCTATTGCCATTCCTGTTTCACTTACACAGCACCAAGACCAGCTCAGCAGCACAGAGAGAGAGGGAAGCCTCAGCAAAGCAGCCAGCCGTGGACCAGAGGGAGTACAGATCTCTGCTGTAGTAGCTGCACACTGCAAAGCACCAGGAGTCTGGGCATTGTTTGGAGGTGACTGTGTCTGGGCTCAGGCATTGTAGGCCTCATGCTCAAACTGGTGTTACCTGGTATTCCCTTGCCCTCTAGGGTAGAGGGGCGCTATGAACAGAGCAAAGGCCGAACAAGCCAAAGGGATAGGTAATCCCAAGTAGAGGATATAGAAGAAGGGCCCTTGGAGATGAGGAGAGGCCACTCACTTATGAAGAGGTGCCGTTTTCCCTGCCAGCTGTCCCACAAACCGTGTACAAAAGGGTGGCTGATCTGTCTCTAGGGACAAAAAAAAAAAAAAAGGGAGGAATCATATCATTGAAGATCAAGGCAGCCAAGAAGTTCCACTTAGTTGTACACAAGGGGAGCTGCTCCCTCACCACTCAGGTCAAAGGAACTTATCACTGGGACCAACTGCCTGGTAACCCTGAAACCAGCATAATACTAAGGGTTACACTGGGGACATGATGGAGACTATTTCCCCAGCAGAATCTGGACAACTGTGCAGACAGCTACCTTTCCTAGGTCTGCTTTAGTGCTGAACTAGGTTGAAGCAGGATGAGGGGGCAGAACAAAACACGAGCATAAAGTTGGATAAGATGCTTTAGCTCTTTCTTACTATGATCCTTTCCAGGGTCTGGTGCATACCTGAATCCTAACTTCCTCTTTGCACTGCCTCAGGGTGTCCCTTTGTAGTACCTTTATCTTGGACACCACCTACAAAAGGAGCAGAGTTGTGATTCCTATAGGGGAATAAACCAAAACCCACTGCCATCGAGTCGATTCCAACTCAGTGAACCCCACTGGGTTTCCAAGGTGATAAATCTTTACAGAAGTACATTGCCCCATCTTCTTTCCATGGAGCAGCTGATGGGTTTGAACCATCAATCTTCTGGTTAGTAGTCTGGTTAGGCACTGCACCACCAGAGCTCTTCTTTATAGGGGAACAGTGCTATTGAATTTTTTAATCCACCCAAACTCTTTGGAACCAATATTGAACACAAAAACTAGAGAATTATATGGAAGAACACTAGGCCCCCACCTTCACTGCAAATACAGCTTTCTGGTCACAATCCAACACCTTGAAGACAGTTCCAAAGGATCCTTTGGCCACAAGGCCTAAAATCTGCAGAGAAATGGAGAACGGCAAGTTTCTAGATTTCTTCCCAAGGTGAAGGCCCCCTTCGAGGGATTCCATTCATCTTACCTTCAACTGCTGCTGTCTGTTAAGGGGCTTAATGGGAAATTCTGGCAGAAAGAGGTTGATGAACTGAGGCAGAGGCCACTCAGACAGAGGCTTTTCTACTACCATTGGAGCTGGCTCCAGGGGCTCACAGGGTAGGCACTGACGCCCCCGTAGTCCCCACATCTCTTCCAGACTTGACCTGGTTGTCCCCAAACCTGACCAAAAGTTCTTCCAGCCTCTGGTCCATGGTCCCTGGATATTGCCACCCTGCTGAGAACCAAGGAAACCACTCTAAATCTGCCCCAGAAGCACTGCAGTTTCTGCCTATCTTAACAAACACTTCCTCCACTTAAATCACAAACCCAAATAAGGTTCACTTTTGAGCACCAAGCCGAATTGCTGCTACCCTTGCTTTGGGCCAAGGCCTGGACACAATTCAAATCATCTAGGAAAACACAGCCATTTTCTCAGTGAGCTATCAGGGCTATGCCTGTACCTCAGTATGGGGCTGGATGCTTTCACAGCCCACTCCCCTTAGATTACAACTCCCCAGGCTTTAAACCCAAGCTTCCTTCACCTCCCCTCTATAGGCTGCCAGATCCCATTGCCTACCTTTTGAGGAGCAGCCACCCGGGCATGTTGCCCCTGCCGACAGCTCACTGCTCCCATCCCCAGCCTCTGCCTCCACTCTCCTCCCACTAAAGCTGTCCTAGTTATATAAGCAGTTCGTCCCCCTGATGCACATTATACATGAGCCCTGCTTCCTCCTTGCTGTTTATGCCTAGAGATTCAGGTGATGCAATAAAATCTCACCACTTTCCCCAAATGATATTCCCTCTGGCTAATAGGCTTACAGCCAGAGCTAAAATGTGCAGAAACCCATCAGCATGTGGCCAGTGTTATACTACAGCTGGAAAGTATCTGTGATACAGCTTCAGGACAGAGGTAGGTAACATGGCAGCTACAGGATATGTTTAGTTGATGAGAAGGGAAGGGCACAGATAGTTTGAACCCATGCACTCAACACAACTGAAGAAAAAAACAGCATCAAATTTAATTTTTTTCTCTTTAAATCATTTAGTTACCATTCTCCAGGGCATATCCCAGGGGTAAGAGTAGGGGACCGTGGCCAGCCCTGGCTCCCATTGCCATTCTCCCATGTGAGCTTGGCACACAGACTGGGGATGGGGTAATTCCCCCTAGCACACTAACACTTCTTTCATACAAGGCAGTGGAGTGAAGGACAGAGGAACAGCCCCCTCTCCTCAGCTTTCTGGCACATAGAACAGTTACATTTAGAAATATATATATATATATTTATCTTTATAAAAATTTATCACACTTGATCAAGACTGTCCCCCCACCCTTTCAGTTGACCCCAAGGGAATGGGATTCTAGTCTTCGGCTTATTCCCTGGGTCTTACTCTCTTGTTGCCTCTCTGGCCCTAGGCCTGCTGATCAGTGTAAGGTGGAACTTAGCATTTCTGTCCACCATGCCCTGCGAAACAGGCCAACTACTAAAGAGTGCTGCCTTTCTCCATAGTACTCTGTGGGCCTGATCCTAACCAAGCATGGTGAATGAAGGGAAGTCCCGCTCCCTTTCCACAAGTCCCTGGGGCCTGGGCCAGAGTCAGATCCTGTACTGCAGCCGCTCTTGGATTGCCAGATCACTTCCGCCTGCCAAAGATGGACTTCTTGCCAGGGTTCTTGTCACCCAGACTTAGACCGATGAGGAGCCGAGCTTTCTCCTCCTCTTTCTGCTGTTGCATGTTCAAGTCTGATTTAGTTTCTAGTTTTCCCCGGACCTCCGACCCTGTTGCAGGCTTCAGCCTTAGCTTCTCTTTGATTACCTGGCAGTTGGAGAGGAGTAAAGGGGAAGGTAAATATTAGTAAGCCAGGCAGAACAAATCAAAATTAATTAGGTCAAAAAATATTTATTAAAATTACATGCAAGGCATAATAGGGCAATTCAAATGATAAAATGGTCTCTGCTTTCAAGAAGCTTACAATCTAAACAAAAGTCATTCTAAACCTGATATTGTGTTAGCCCTTAGTTCCCTAAAACCAACAGCAGTTAACATATATGAAACAGTAAACAATCTAATCATCTATACAGTCATGGGAGAGTGCAGAGATGGAAGTCACTCACTTCGTTCACCTGCCCCTCTCCCAAGGCTTTTGTTATGTCCTAGAATGAAGGGCGCCTGGGCAGAGGATCTGTTTTGCCAGCCCCTGCTAACCAAATAGCCATGAGCTCTGGCGGGATACCTGGGCAACCAGGGCTTTACGGCTGTCCCTCTTGACAGCCATGGCAAAGTCTAGCCATGTCCATGTGTTATTGTGGTACTCTAGACAAGGCAGCACCAGGTTAAGGTCACCCCAGTCGACACTGTTCTTCTCACCCTGCAAGAGGAAGAGGGGAGAGGCAAAGAAAAGAAGGGGGAAAAATACATCAGCTACCATTTTGAGTCCAAGCCAGTACTTAGGGGTAGGCTGGTATTTTCTTGTAACAGAAACCTACTGATACTGATCTCGCAACTCAGTCCATTAATGTTACTGACCCAAGGGGAGCAGAGGAAACACCAGATTTATCACCCACAGCCCCGGTTCTCAGAAGCCTGGCTGTCTATCTGTAATCTCAGATCTTATCTGGTTCCCTTCCCACCCTGTTCTAGAAAATGCTGGAGAGGTACAAACCTTGTAACTGACACACAGTGGAACCTGTGGAATTTTTATGTAGATGAAGGAGTTGTTCATAGCAGCTCGCTCTTTCATTTTGTCAATATCATCCACAGGGTGCTAGGAAAGGCAAGAAAGGAGTGTGAGCTCCTGAAATCATCAGAAGGACAATAAACAGGATCCTCAACAGCCCCTGCTCCTTTCATCCCCTCAAACACTCTTAAACCAAAAAGCCAAACTCATTGCTATTGCATCTATTCCGACTCATAGCAACCCCCACTGGGTTTCCAAGGCAGTAACTCTTTATGGAAGTAGATTGCCCCATCTTCCTTCCATGGAGTGGCTGGTGGGTTTGAACCACCAACCTTATGGTTAGTAGTCAAATGCCTTAGGCACTGCACCACCAGAGCTCCAACAAGAAATCCCCAGCTAGGTCAAGTCTCTCCCATTGTTCTATCACCAGGGGATTGTCTGGTACCTCAGGTACTTTGCGAAATGACCTTCTGACCCCAGAGCTCCGATTTAAGCCCTGTGCCACACCCTTCCCAGAGCCCAAAGGCACTGCATCATCTGTTGCAATCAGCTGCCGAGGCTTCACCACTGGTATGCCTGTGAAAAAGCGAGCACACCAGCTGTCATCCCCTCTGAAACTACAGCTATTTCCGGGGCTGCCACCCCACTCTGGAGCTCTACCACAAAGGTTCTCACCAGTAGTCACTAGTTTGGACTTATCCTCTTCATCACCAACCTCATCATCCTCCACGCTTCGGCCAGGAAAGAAAAAGCCCATCATTCTATGGAAAAACTGGTGTGTCAGCTGGATGGTGAGAGGTACCACATTCACCTAAAAAGAAAAGGTCAAAGATGTAATTAAAGTCAGACACTATCCCTTAGCTCACCTATCCCCTCAGGGACTAGTTACTAACCTCAAAGTGCTCCTTAACAGAGATACCCCCAACAGGGGGCCGGACTTTGCTGAAAAGGCGGAGGGCTAGCTGTCGCCCAGACTGGCAGGGACTCTGGGGCCGCAGTACTACCTGCAGGATACAAAGTAAACAACAAACCAACCCAGTGTTCTCTCTGCCATTAAGTCAATCCATATCTTCTGCAGACTGAGAGGAAAGGCAATGGTCTTGCTAAGCTGAGCAAACTTTCACCATCTGAGATTACCACACTGTTTTCCACAGTGGGTCTATGTGGATAGGACATTATAAATGCCTTGTGCTAGGAAGCATGTGAATGGGTTAAGAATGGAGAAAAAGACTTGCCTTATAGACAGCATTGGGCAGGAGGTTGTTCATTGTAAACCAGCCCAGCTCCAGAAGATGTTCTGCTGTGTCATCAGACTTATTCACCTATAAAGACAGATTTTCCCCTTCCACTATAATAAGCCTTTCTCAGGAGCTTTCTAGAAAATCACTACATATACTGTTAGCTTTCAAGTTCTCTATGTACCTAATCCTAACCTTTGTTATCTCTTTCATTCTCATACAAATACTGTACTCTTTAATCCCGTGTTTCTCATGGGGCATAACTGGCCAGGACACTAAATGCAGTAGGACTTCCCAGTCAGGATGGCATTCAAAAATGCTCTAATTTCCTTATGTCTCTTGGAGTGAAGAATGATGAATAATGTCCTCCCCTTCCCCTACGCCAATGGGTAATTGTAGGAAAAGTGAATACAGTATTAGAATGGTTCTAATTAAGCTTGAGGGAGTCCTGGTGGTACAATGATTAAGCATTCAGCTGCTAACTGAAAGGTCAGTGTTCAAACTCACCAAGCCACACCATGGGAGAAAACACCTGGTGATCTGCTCCCATAACCCCATGGGGCAGCTCTAATCTGTCCTATAGGGTCACTGTGAGTCAAAATCAACTCAAAGGCACACAACAACATTCAAACTCTACCTATATAAAAGCTTGACTTGGGAGATTACTTTCTCTGGGCCACAATTCTAGGGATAACCTTCTTACTCAATATGACCAAAAAAACCAAACTCACTGCCATCGAGTGGGTTCCAACTCATAGCTACCGCTCCTTGGGTTTCCAAGGTGGTATTACTATGGAAGTAGACTGCTCAATCTTCCTTCCAAGGAGTGGCTGGAGGGTTTGAACCACCAGCCTTCTGGTTAGCAGTCAAATGCCTTAGGCACTATACCACCAGAGCTCCTTATTCAGTAAGGGAAGCATTTAATCAAACTCATCTATATAATACTATTATTTGATATTATAAATAGATGTCATCTAAGGGAAACGGTACTCATGTTTCCAATCATGATTATCATTAATAATCATATTATTAACTCCTTTATGTTTCTCCCTTTTTTGTGAGGTGGACTCTTGAAATAGGCCAATGCCTCGATAAATATAGCCACCTTTGTGTGACTGTTTACACTGGGTACCTTGCTGTAGAGGAACCGCTGTAGCTCCAGTTCAGCAATTCCCAGCTGTCCATCTTCTTCTGTCAGGCGCCACCGTGCCTGAGCAAAGTAGAACTCAGTGCGACGGACCACACTCACATCTTCTTGCTGTTTTCGCAGCTCCATCTTGTTGGCCCGCTGCAACTGGAAATCCTTAAAACACCTGTTAGTGGACAGAAGTACTATTAAGGATTGAAATGCATCCCTCAAAAAGGTATGTAGAGTCCTAACCTCCCCAGTAACTGTGCACCTATTTGAAAGTAACATCTTTACATATATAATCAAGTTAAGATAAAGTCATACTGGTAGTTGAACCTGTGGGCTTGGGACCACAGTTGCAGGGGACATCAAGCTCAACTGGCATAACATACTATATAAAACATTGTTCTACCTCCTACTTTGGTGAGTAGCGACTGAGATCTTAAAAGCTAGCAAGCTGCCATCTAGATGCAACGATGGGTCTCTCCTCGTCCAGAGCAAAGAAGAATGAAGAAAACCAAAATTCATGGAAACAATTAGTCCTAGCGACTGGTACACCATATGATCTGCAGCCTATATGACTTGAAACC